AATCAACTAGAAATGCGAATGGCATAAAAGAATCTTGCATTTGATGCAATAAATTTCATAACATTAGCAAATACGCAAGTTTATTGAAAGTTCATTCGTTTTTTGAAGTATTTATTTTTTTACTGTTTTTACTGTTTATAATACAATTGTCGTAACTCTATGATTGACCACTATCCTGTCATTAGAAAATATTAGCGGAAAACAATTAGATGATTATCGGACCGAAACGGAACCAGAAAAAAATGTAACACAAAGCAAAAATTATAATAATAAATTAGGGAGGAGGCATATCCATCTCCTCTGCTACCACATTCGCTGTCCAAAACTTTTGGAAGCGAATAAACTCGAATGAAGAACCTAAATAGTGTAAAATTTAAAAAAAAAGAAATCATCAGTCACCGTGTTGTTACCATATCAGGTTGCATGACGTAGGTACTAATTTTTTATGATATAAGTGTCATAAATATTAGCTACATTTAATATATGAACCAAAAATGTTAAATAGAAATTTCATATTCTTGTTCCGTTGTAAAATCGTTCGGTTTCGTAAAATAGAATCTTTTTCTTCTTCAAAAGTTTTCCATATAGCCACTGAAGAAATACCCGAAATGCATCTGGTTGAATATCATTAATTAAAACTTCTACGACTTTGTCCTTTGCTAATTCACTGGAGCTATCACAAACATTTTTTCAAAATAGATCGAAGCAGCTATTAAAAAAAAAATAACAAAAATAAATATAAATTTTCTCAAAGAAATTTTAACGTACGTACGTACCAGAAGCATAATCTATTTCTCCGACAATATATTCATCACTTAATGAATTAAACATCAGATTCGGAAATGGAAGATTTACTGAATAAAGCTGAAACATTAGCACTTCCCTTTTCCTTTACAATTTCGATATCAAAAAATTGACAAATAAACGAATAAATATTTGCTTTAGACTATAATATTGGAATAATCACGGCTAAGTTAAAAGATTAATCACAAATATTGGCTTTAAAGAATAATTTAGAAAAATCACTAAAAGACTTTGAAACTAGAATAATGAACTAGAAGAAAGTTACGTTCACAATTCAAACATTTAGAAGAATCTTTTAGAGAACAAGAAGAAAATATTATTAATTTGAAGAAAAGTTTAAAGAAAGAGAAGAAGCAACCAAAGTCAATCAAGCAATTATTGATGAATTAAAAGAAAGGATCAGAAAACTTAAATAAAATCAGTTTAACTATTACAGATACTAATCTGGATTGAAAAAATATCGAAAATTAACAATACTC